AGGTGATGTGCCAAACAAATCCCTTTTCTGGGGATACGGTGAGGCTTTGCAGCTTGATCTAGTGTTGTCTCAGTGTGCAGAGAGGCTGGACCAGGCTGGACCGGCAGCATGTGCATGTCTCCGGCTGCAAACCCAGCAAAGCCGGAGGGCGCAGTGCCCGGGTCATTCCCCCCCTCCCTGCCGCTGCATCTTCTCCCGAGGGCCGGCTGCAGATTTGAATCGCGCCATCGAAAAGAGCAAAAGGCGGCGGGGACGGGGGGTGGTGGGAGGATTTTCCCACAGCATCCGACTGCCACTTCTCATCTGCCTCCGCTGGGAGCTGGCAGGGCCGGTGACAGGGACATGAAGGCTTAGCGACCGCCAAAGTGCGGCAGCGCTGGAAAGCTTCGAGAGCGATGGCCGTGTCGCAGGCTGCTGTGTGCGCTGCTTGCTTAAAGCTGTCACCCAGAAAAGACAGGGGCTTGGCAGGAGCTCAAGGCCCCCGGGGAGATGCGGAGCGGGCTGGGGTGTCTGCTACCCCTTGGGGACATCGCTGCGGGAGAGCTGCTGCCTGCAGCGAGGAGCAGCGGGCTGAGCACGGCCCCGCTCCCAGTTTTCCCCAGCCAAGGGACCCCGGGAGCAGTCGGGGTCCTCCCCGTCCCCTGCGGGGTGTAGGGGCTGTCCATCGCCTCCCGCCCGGCAGCACGCTGGGGGACGGCAGACGCTTCTCCCCACTTTCTGGCTGCGGTAAGGGAGAGGGAAGGGCAGGAGAGCCCGGGGCTCAGCTGCAGCCATTTATCTCCCGAAGCCGGGCTATTAGACAGATGACAGAGGGAGAGAGGCAGCCGGTGCAAGCACTGAGACCAAGGCTCCTTCCACTGGGTGATTTATCTCCTGGCTTCATCCAGCAAGCTTGCTGATGAAAAGGCTCTTCCCTTCTCTGTGCCTCATCAATTCTCATTCTTACCGCTTTTCTATTTTTTTGTTTTTCCTCCCTGGGTTTCTGCCGCCTGTTCATGCAGCCGCGCTCCCCTCTCCCCAGCACTGCGCACCCCGTCTCTCCTGCACTCCCCGTCTCGTCTCCCTCTCCCGACCTCATTCTCTGATGGTCTATTTGTCCCTTTCTTTCTCCTTTTCACCTCTGGTCCTCCTTCTTTCTCTCTTTGTGGCGCTTTCATTCCCCCTCATTCCTTCTCCTTCCGTATTTCTCTGCTGTATCCCCCTCTCCGTCCCTGAGCACGTCTGGCTGAGATGGAAAGAGATTCTTTGAGCCCCCCATCAGCAAGTGGCACTGCAGATGATGTCGTGGGCTTGTGGCAAATTCAGGCCGGTACCATTTGGGGCAGTGTCACGGACCCCCTGCCTGGCCCTGGCACTTTGTGTCTCGTGTCCTTGGGGACCACCTCTGGATAAAATCCTTACCAAAGGCATACCCAGGCTCCAGCTTCTTTGCAATCGCGTTTTGCAGTGAGCTGTGTGGAAGGGGAGGTGGACATTTGCACCTGGGAGAAATCCAGCCTTGAAGGCAGAAGTCACAGAAATGCCTTAGGGAGACCAAGGAATTGGGTAAATGCTGGGAAACTATGGAAGAGGCAAGCGGCATCCCCAGCGCGGGGACTGGGCTTGGGTCCTGCTGGGGCAAAAAGGGAAACTGGGGGTATTTTCCATTTCCTGGTGTTCAGGGCACTGCAGCAAATCTTTCAGCCCCCTGGATCTACATTTTTGGAAAAAAACTAACTCCGAGCAGAAATGTCACCCAGCTCCCTGCTGTCACTCTCGCCGCGCCACAGCCCACGCCGAGGAAGAGCCCGAAATAGCAGCCGGGGGCTGCCGGCGCTGGAGGGGAATGCGGGACCCGTGGCCCTGCCAGAGCCCAGCCTGGCCGCAGAGGGGGTCCCGGTCTCCAGCAGACCCTCCAGCAACCCAGGTCCCAGCTCCTCCTTGCTGTCCCCCTTCCTCTCTCTGGTTTCACCAAGGCTCCCATTAGCTGGGGCAGCATCTTCCCACCAGCTGCAAAGGCAGCAAATCAGTCTGTCTTGGAGAGGAGATGAAATCCAGGCTCCCTGGGAAACACACCACTTAGCCTCCCAACCTCAGCCGCATCTCGAGCCTGATCTTGATATTTGTTAGCCTCAAATCCCAGGTCCCTCCGCTTTTCTGTCTTGTTCTGCGCCCTGAGTCTGTTTGGGGGGAAAACAAGGGCTTTCGGGGCACGGTCAGTGCTTTGGTGCTGCTGGGGAACTGTGGATGGATGGGGCGGCTGGGAGTTCAGGGTACATGTGTGCGCGTGTGCACATGAATCACTGCAAAGTTGCACACGGGGAATTGACCCCGCCGTTCCCCGGTGTGAGCCCCTTGAGGTCTGGGTCTCCCCTGGGCCAGCTTTATCCTGGGACCCCCGTCCCTCACCCTCGCCAGCCCTGGCTCCCGCAGCGACTCCCCAGGCTGGCGGGGACGCAGCTCCGCGGGGGGAAGCTTTCGAACCCGAATGGTAAACCGATAGAAGTAAAACCATGGCCGTGGGAGCTGCGGGACTGCCCGGTCCATCCCACCATCCATCTTTGGTGCAGCACAATAAAAGGCTAAATCAGTTTGCATGCAACCTGCAGGCTTCTTCGGTGCCTAATTAAGAAATACTGAGCCTGACTTCACTGGGTAATGGATAAAAGACAACCAGCGGGCTCCTGCCCCCTCCTTCCCCATCTCCCCACCAGCCCATGGCTGAACTGCAGGAATTCATGGTGCAGGTCCCCAGGGTGTCACTCCTGTCACCAGGGAGCAGGGCTGTCATGGCAGAGGGGGGTCAGCTCCATCTCTCGCAGGGACTGTCCTCCCTGGGGTTTGTACCCCGCAGCGGGACCACACGCTGCCGACGCGCTCCCTGTTCGGTTTGCTCCGTGCCATTTGAAACCATGAAGTACGAAGTTTAGTACCCAGAGTTTCCAAAAAATGACATTTTTCTGCCAGCTCTGATCCTGTTACTTATACAAACACCTGGACTGTTACAGCATCATCTTGTACGCAAGGCTTTCCACAGCCATCAGTCCTGCAACCCCAACCCGTGCTGGGCAAAAGTGATAAAACCCGGTTACAGACACAAACCCTGTAGAGGTATCGCCCAGCAGCAGAGCTGGGGACTCTTCCCTGTAAAATGGAGTTTGAAACAAGGTGCTTTTTCTGGGCTCTTCTTCACAGCCTTCAGGAAATAAAAAACCCATTCCTCCATATTATTTTTTTAAGGAGAAAAGATTCTATAATATTTTAATGGCCGGAGAGATTTATAGTCACAGAAATGCCCGTGCACTTAAAAAGAAAGACGAGGGTCCATCAGAAGGATGCAGAAATCAATACAGCCTTCCTCTTCTTTAATGCTGTTTCTCCGGGAGATGGTTTAAAAGCCAATGCCCTCGCAGCAGGCAAGAAGGGAAGTGCACGGGATCAATTCTGGAGCAAGGCTTGCATCAGTCAGTGCTGAATAAACTTTGGTTGGAAGCCCTTTACAGGGAGAACAAGGGGGTGATAAAATAGAGCTGCTTGGAGAGAAACTTTCTTTTCCCACTCCAGCTGCTTTTTAATGTTTTTCCTGCTGCGTGAGAGTCTTTTAAGACAGGGAGAAGCTTCGGGGCTTGGTTTGATTTCTGTCAATGCGGGTCAGGAGAGCTGTAGCAAATCAAAAAATCAAAGGTGGGGTGGCGACCGGCTCCGGCTCCTCCGAACCCCATGGCCAGATGGGGAGAGGGGCAGGGAGGTGCTGGGGGGCTCACGCCCACCCCAGCCCCTTGCCGAATGCCCCACCGAGGAACCCCCGACCCCTCTTCCCCAGAAAGGGTGCAAGGCAAGGGGCTGAGGCCAGGGTCGCACCCAGCATGGAGGGGGTTAAGGGGCTTCTGCATTCCCCAGGAGCTTCTAATGAGCCCAATCAGGGTTTCCTGCTCCCAGGAGATTGCCCCCACCCCGGGCCAGTGCTTTAAAAGGAGCTGGGGGGGCCTTTGCTGGGGTTGGGGAAATATGGCTATGTGGCTGCTCTGGATGCTGCCAGCCCCATCATGCAGGG